GTGTATAGAAGCAGTGACATTCAATGCTCATGACACTGTAACTGTGGAACTCTCCATAGCGGAATTATCCTTCGTTTTTTCATGAGTTAAATATAAGTCACTCATTAGGAATTCTGTGAAATTTCAAGTGAGCGACGCGATGTGATTGCCCTGAAAAATTTCAGCAATTTTCCAAAATCTTCATTATCTTAAAATAACTTGTTTTATTTGGCAACCTTTCGCGGGAGGCGCCGGTATGATCTGTAATGACTAATGCAGCTTTTACATTACATTGAAATTTCAAAGAAATGTGTCATTTTCGCAATATCGCCAAGATCGACGTCTTAATCATCCTTTTCTGAGAAATTCGCGACATATTAAAGAAGAATATGAAGAAATTGTTTCGTTTATGACTCAATTCGCTCCATATAAAAGCTGGGCATGCAGATGCCCAATCGGTCATTTCCAATAAAGATATAAACCGTGATCGTTCCGCAACATGATCTGTACCGCACCATTTCAAGTGACAGCGCTCTACTGCATCTCAATCTCAATTACACGGGTTTTTCCTGAATGATGGGAAAGTTGAGAGGCCCGAATGCACAGAAAAGTATCAGAACCAGAGTCAGCCAGAGTAAGCTATCAGAAATCTGATCGTAATACATACTCAAAGCTTGGTATATTGTATTGTAGTATAGTAGTCAACTCAATCAATCACTGATATAAATAGTAGGAGATTATACCTTGCTGCTCATCGGACCACAATGATGAGCTCAAAATGCTGCGTGTGGAGGAGCCTCTCATTGATTCCTTTTTCATTCCTTTATACAGATATATTTGAATACAAGTATACATCTACAATTTTTTGTTAGTTTCAAATCTCGTACACACTCTCTTCACTGAGATATCAACCCGTATAATTTCTAGTGACCCGTTCTATAAAAGTAATCTCTAATAATGTACATAGTATATACATAATCAACTATGGCTGATACGAGTTCTCTATTCTAACTCAACCCAGCTATTCGTCGGAGTTCTTGTCGATGCTGTTTGAACGAATCGTAGCCGTCCATCACTTCGAACGCTTCTTCGATGGTGATGCTCCTATTGCTACGCAACCTTTCCCACATCTGTTGGTTCGCTATTGGAAATTGTATGAGTCTTGCTTCACCGCAAGACTCCAGCAGTGACTTGTGATGTACTTTGCCCACAGTTTGCTCAACCTGAAAACATCGAAAATCATTTTGGTTTAGAGTTGTATGTGAATGCTTACCACACGTTTGACACAGGCGCCTTTTCCCATCATATACGACACAGTTTCCATAACGCTTCAGTTCAGTTGCCGGAATTATCCTCCCCAACAACACTACGAGGATTGCTGCCGCCTGTCCTTTCCGGAGAAATCGTGCTGTTTTTTCAATCGTGCTTTCATCACGTTCCAACACCAGCACAACAGGATTCTCCTTTTCGTATGCATCCTTGTACGCTATGCATAACAGTTGCAGTAGTGCATTAGCATTTGGCGGTATGTCAGCGTCGTTGAGTGATGTAGGGTAGTCATCCTGGAAAAATAGCTTTTCTTGCTCTCACAAAACCCCTCTACTGTGTGCTGAATGATGGTCCAGTAACATTTTACGCGTGTACCTCTGCATTGTTTAGGAACATCTGAAGATTTTGCTGATACCCATCAAGTATGTTTGCGAACAAGGGTAACTCCTGGCTGTCGAGAGCAGGAATGAGGCCGACTATACTTCACGTTCAACGAAACCAACACATTACGTGTTGTAACGACATTTCGCAAATCATTGGATTGCCTTCTTGGCCACAATGGTAGTCGTTGCGAATGAGAGTCATCGTCATCTGGTACAGCTGCTGTTCTCCGAGGGATCACTACATCTATGTTGAGATCCGTGGACGTTTCTAGAAATAAGGACTCTACATGTATACAAATTATTATACATATATATATATATATAAGAATATATATGCGGCCAATTCCTGGTATATCTCTGGAGTTGCCCAAAGGTGAGGAAGTAGTGTTTAAGATGTGACGACATTTAAAATAATTATGTTCGTACTTTCAGAAGTGTACTTTCCCACCCGCTGAAGAGAATGGATATCAGATATGTTTAAATGTGGAGAACATGGCAAATTTCGATTTCACGCCCACATGGCGGCGAAGCATGGTATCAAGGAGAAGGATGCCGAAGGGACCCTTAACCGACTTTATCAGGTAAACTACACGGACACCTTCCATAACGATTCCCCTACATAAACCATATACTTTGAAGGCACATAAACAAGTTACTAGAGGAATACTGGAACGGATGAAAGGCGCTTTTGTGGATCTCTCTCTTATTCCTAAACCACGAGAGGCGAGGGAGTGGGCAATTTACATGGGATTTGTTAATCAGCTACGCGAACCGCGGCATTCCACTAATTAAAGACGTAAGTACTGGACACAATCTGATTGAGTTTGTGTTTGAATCACTACATTTTCCAGGATCTGAACGTAAGTGCCCTACAGCCACCTCTTCCCCCACCCCATCATCCGGTATCCGCAGCTGCTGATGCCATAAATATGCAAGAACCGCCAGTACGCCTCGAAGTAGAGCGCCACTAGTTGAACAAGATGAAGAAGACGAGCAAAGACCAGGACCATCACGACACTACCACACACGTTTCGTGATGATAGCAACTAGAGCCACGCAAATGACCGAGATGCCTAAGGAGCTCCACAGTATACGGAGCAAAAGTTATCATGAAGCCGGTGTTTGCCGTCGAGGTGCAGAGAGGAAAGTGGTTGATGTTCGGAAAGGTGGTAGTCCCCTCGCGTATAGTCCAGAGCGAAATGGGCACTGATTTCAAAGTCGTAGTAATCGGTGAGTGGCGTCGTTTCAGTTTTAATATGCTAACTGTGAGGCGCTGGAAGTAATAGATAGCGTTTATTATCAGGATACAGTTCCGAAGTACACACCTGATGCATCACCACATATGGATTCGGATCTCATGGATTTCGTATTCATAGATATCAGACTCATGGATGATGCTGCTGTTGTAATTACCATCGTTTTTCCACAATGTTGTATTGGAACCAGTGTAAAAGTCTGAACGCCGTTGAACGTGAACATTTTAACGCAAGCCAATGGTTATTTTGATAATCAATCACCGTTTGCACAACTACCCTAATATTGATTTATAAAACTTACTATTGAGCCCAGTGTATTGTTAACGAAAAGGATCATAGATTCTTCAGATGTGTACCTGTGCGAGAGCCTGTTCATTTACTTGGATACTTCACTAAAGCTTTGGTGCGTATCACTCACAAGTTCAGGTAAAGGGAAATGCAGGAAACGGCGTGAGAACACTGCTAGAGCGGCTCGCCAGACTGCTCGCACCGGAATCGCGCGAATACGCCAAATGAGTGCTGCCGAAATTCATACCTAATCTATATTTGGAGCTAACTGGTAGCTGGTAAGCGAGTCTGTTATCAATCACTTAGCCATTGTGGAACAAACTTACGAGTAACATTGTGAGAATGCATTACATGGCTAATGGAAACATCCTTTCCTATTCCATCAAATCGTTCTCGAGAGTTGGCCAACCGCAACAATAGTTGACTTACAGACCGTACGGGTAGTAGACGACAATGATGTACGACAACTCTATCAGGAAATAAATCAAGCGCGGAGCTCATATGCGAGTGATGTTGAACGTTTCATGCTTGTGGCAATGTGCTCAAGAAAGAGGTGACAGGAGCGATCATCGCAATCAGGAGTAAAGGTTCAAAATTCGCTGTTCAAATTCGGTGAAACCGTGTCCATCGACGACGCTATCTATTCCTGTGAGATTGTTACGGCGTTCTTTCGCTGATTACAGGATGCAGGTGTGGTGTTGAGCGTGAGAAAGTAGTTCGCATTGGCACTGCTGTCGTTTTATAAATTCTTGAGGAATAATTCTGAATATGAGCGCAGGTTCTCAGATTGAACAATGCAGTAATGAGCTACATGGGGAACCTGTAGCTTTCAGTGGCCGGATATGCTCGGGATGCTGCGGCGCACATTCACTTCTTGCACTATCCCACAGTACATATCAAGGGCTCAATGAAAGTGAAAGGCCGGAGGTAAGAGAACACATCAAAACACACGGCAAAATTGCACGGTTCGAAACGATCCCAATGTTTAGAATACAGTACCATACTGTATGGTGAAAAGAGTAGTAAACTGTCTAAGGATGGAGGATGGGATAAAACAAATCATGAGAAGATTCGATGAAGATAGCTCATCGTTAAAGCACGCAGATTACAACTATGTGATGAGGTGAGGTACTTGAGCAATCGTGTCCTAAACGTTGGAAGAAAATGGGCTTTCTTTAGTGCTGTCATGGTGCATCTGCTACACTGTAATGGTGCACGAAATGAACTTTCATTCAAAACACGTTATAGCAACATATCCGCACTTGAAATCGTTATGCCCAATCCTGCACTTGGTATCACAGAAAAGTTCTGGTGAATAACATAATTTATCCCATTGAAGAGTCCGTTTGGTGTAGAGATACTGGATCATCCGTTCAGGTCGGAAAGTACCCTAGGCGGAAGCGCTACAATGTAGCGCCTGACCCAATGGGCAGAGGCGGTGGCTATTTTGTCGTTGATGAAAAATGTGGGAAGTGGCTCGGCTACTATGGAAAACTCCGTGAACATATGTTTCGAGTATGTGGACGTATTTTTTTCCGGTCATTTATAATCTTTATTTAGCGTGTGCCGCCAAAAGGGTATAGCGGATGCCAACACAACAATGAAGAGGTTTTTCATACAGTGGAGTGGCGCCAAGTGAAAGAAAACTCGCGTTCTATGATGAAGCACTTGTTCTGGAGGTTAGGGTGTGGAACGCTGGGAATAAACAGTAGCACGGTGAGTCCTTAACAACATTGTTGACCTTATGACTGCTTATTGTGATGGTTTAGACAAGGCACAGCGTGACACATAGAGTTTGAGAGAGACATCAAGAGCACGGCTGCTACTCTTGAGGGACAGATTTACTAAACTTAACGTGGCTTTACTACAATGTGAGTGATAGATAGGCTGTTATGTGCCATGCATTTCATTCAAGGTTCATTATTAATCACGCGCTTCGACAGCGCATCGCCCGCGGAAGCAGGAGTGTTTTTTGGTTATCTGGTTTTGAGAGACTATGCACAAGAAGAGGAGAGCGAAGAAGAAATGACTGCACAGTTGGCTCAAGTGGAGCAAATGTTGAATGCGGAGAGAGCGTGAGTAAATTCCTTATTTTTTCTGCAGCTCACCGCTTCTATACATAAGTCAGGTTTAGTGTGGTTGAACCACGAGCTGTAGAAAATGGAAATCAAGCCGCACTGTCACCACGACGTAAACATGCTGCAGCAGACGATGAATTGGACGATCGTGAAGATTTGTATGAATCGTACCAGCCTGTCAGTTCATCTTCAGAAGAATACGATTCTCCAGAGGAGCGACCAATTAATCAATCAGCCGGTGAACGTGGAATGGAGCCAGAACCAGAAGAGCAAGCGATTCTTGTAGCCGGTGAACAAGAAGAGATGGAGCATTGAATCCACAAGAAGCAGCCTTCCCGGGTGTGGAAGCCGGTGAACATGAACAGGAACAGGAACCAGAGCAGGGTGAACCCGAAGTGGAAGAAGAACTGCCGATGATTGCTGATCCCGCGAAAGTGCTTGACTACATGCGAATGCATAATAGAAGAGCGTGCGTTGGGGCGGATTTGCGTTTTTACATGAGCGAATATGAGAAGCAGTTGTTAAATTTACAGCGTACGGAACAACCAGTACAGGTCAGTTGATCCCGTGATGCATGTACGCATAAAACAGAATTTATTAGGCAATTTAAGGGTTTTTCTTGGCTTCAAGTGCGCGATGAAGCAATCCATCAATGGAAAAGAATTGTTCGCGATGTGTGAAATCCTAAAAAATCAGATTGTCAGCAATTGCAGGTGATTTCTCAATACGTACTCAGATAAAGCGATTGCAAATTTGAACACTTTCATTGTCGAATGCGTTGTTTTCAGGGTACCGGCCCGTGTTCTTTCCTGAGCAGCCATAATGTGAAAATGATTTAGAAGAAAATGGATCCAGCTGATGCCGGAACAAATGGCTAGCTACGAAGTCGAGTATAATGGTAAGATCTCGGATTGAACATGACAACAAAGATTTATGTCGAAATCGACAAATGCAAGGGTATTCAGCTCACCTTCACTGATACGAAGGGTAACGCCATCGAACGGAAATTTTCAATTCTTCTGCCCACGTATTCCCGATATTAAGTAAGTGATCGGTTTACATTGGGGTCGTTTGTTCAATCATAGCATGTCTACATTCAGTACGCGAATCTTTTTTGCCGCCCTGGTACATATATTGTCTGTCCTATCGAGCCTTGGACTATGTCCAATATCGTGTTTGTGTGTAGTCTCAATGCAGCGAGACACATTTTATGTTAAAGTTATTTGTGTTGATTGTTCCATCTATATATTGCACTTTTTCTTCTTGTGGGAATAGTAGCATGGAATACTTATGTCTTCGAAATGCATTGTGCATTCTTGGCATTGTCTATCGCAATTCTGCTATTGTCTAGGTAGGACCGTAAGTCAATTACATAGGCATATTATATTTGCATATATATGGTTATTGACCGAGCTTTTTGTTTCGTCCTCGCTTAGTCGTCGCGCATTAGTGCCCCGGGTCAGTGCTTTGCGCAACTGGATAGACCCATGGAATTATCGCGTCATGAGATGATCATCTCTTATTTACGATTTCTCACTACTTTTGATATGTCCGCCGCCTCCACTAGCTTCAGTCTGAGTCTCATCGAGAATTACGCGGTGATAGCGTGCTGAATGCTGGAACTGTATATGACCTTATTACTCTTGTTAATATCATTTTTTCTAGTCTATTTTTCTTGAATATATTATTATTTTCTTGAATCGGTGTAATAGGATTTCCTTGTCGTCATGTCTCAAATTGAAATGAACATGCGCTCTTTTATCATTAAGTTGAGGAGCTAGTATTGCTTATACTCCATATACGTTCAATCATTTATTTTATGTAACCATGAAGGCTTATAGGCCGGTTTAATAAGTTGGGGTTTTCTTTGATAGTGCGTCAAGAATGAACTCGATTCACTTGTGCTGTATGTTTATATTGCTTATGATATTTCTATTAACATGCATGCACGATCACTTGTAGTGATACCGCTCCAATGTGTCATGCAGTTGATTATGGGGTGCTTTGCCTGGTATTCTTTGTAACGGAATCGACGAGCATGGCAGCGTTCGGCTGCAGCGCCTTTATGCGGCCTTATCAATCGTTATCAATTTCTGGCACCCACCAACAATGTCGTCCCTGTCCACCCCACATAACACTTGTAAGTATGGTTGCTCTGGTGTCAACGCGAGCCAGGTAACGGAATCGACGACTTCAGCGTTCTGGCGCACCTTATCGGCCCTTATCAATCGTTATCAGTTTCTGGCACCCACCAACAATGTCCCCGTCCCACCCCACATAACACTTGTAAGTATGGTTGCTCTGGTGTCAACGCGAGCCAGGCAACGGAATCGACGACTTTTGCGTTCTAGCGCATCTTATCAGCCATTATCAGTTGCTATCGCTTCCAATCATGTACCACCAATGTCCCGGGACCGCCCCACATAACACTTGTAAGTATAGACGCTCTTTTACCAATATGAACGGCAAAACGAAATTGGCGATGCTCGCTTTCTAGCCCCTCTTATCAGCTATTATCAGTCGTTATCAGTTCCTATCACGTACCACTTGTGTCCCCATCCCACCCCCTATAACATATGTAAGAACCACTGCGCTATCGTTACTGTGACTCGAGCTATGAATTTCCGGTCAAACACACACACACACACACACCAACAGACACACGCTAGCCGCTTATATATAGTAGG